TTGAAAATAATAAATTGAAAATATATATGCAAATAATCAATAAAAGTGTGTTAATAAATGATAACAATTAGATTCGTGCGAACATTATGATATAATTATTATGATTTTTAATTTGAAAGGAATTAGCATCGATTGGTTGACCAATAACTTATACTTCAGTGACTCTAATAGGAAAGCCATATATGTGTGTACAATTGATGGGGATTTCGTTACTGCTATTGTTACTGAATATGTTGACCAGCCAAGCGAAATTATTGTACATCCAGAAAAAAGGTACATGGTCATTTGAATGTCGCTTTTGATACTTCTATAGTCATGCCTGTATAACTAATAAATTACATCAACATTTCGGCCAGCAACAATGATGATGTAGCACAATGCTGCGTTTAATATTCATATGTTTATTCTTTCTTTCTAACTAGATATTTGTTTTGGGGTGATATTGGTGAAGGATCTAGAATAGAAAGATCCAGTTTATCAGGTCGTCAACGGAGAAACCTAACAAATAGCAACATGTACAACCCATCTACATTGACAATTGATTTAAACAAAGATAGGTGAATATTCGTTTAATGTCAATGTCGTAGTCACACACAATCCTACTAATTCAGCAGACACAATAGTGCCTACCTGGCTTCTAAAAAAAATAGCATATAACCTGGTATATATTTAAATAACTCCTACTTGAAATATACAGACACACACCCCAAATATGGTATTCTGAAGACTCCATTGTCACTTGTTTTATATTAACCAAAACTCAATAGAAGTACTTGATTATATATTACATATTATTTAATAACCTTGGTCGCGAATGAACATCTCGTCGTATGGACGCCATGCATAGCTTTTGGATTACCAGGATTTCAAGCCGTCATTGTTATTAAATATATGTGTTGAAAGGCTCAGTATTGACGATTCTCATAGCGATGTGACTCAAACAATAGTAGAAATTAACTGTTTTCAAATGCAGTTCGCATTAAACAGTGTCGAGTGTTGATAAAAATATAATAATTATTATGATGGACAGGTTTATATATACATATATGTACGAATACAAAATCATTATATCGTTATCATTATTATCTCGATGTGCACAAGCAAATGCTATGGTGAACTGTGTCAATGACATTGATGTGTTCTCTTAATAAGACACTATCGTCGAATCTGGGAATTTATTTTGAGCACCGAATTCATGTGAATAATGACAATAATTTCATCCGTCTGTTTTGTATAACCTTTAATGGTTTGTAATAACAAAACTGTCTTATTTTATTAAAATGTAGATTATATTGGATTGACACTTCGCATATGTATGTCATGGACTTGGATGGCAATGGACTGACAAGAATAACAAATGAGGGTGGCGAAACTTTTTTTGGTGTTGCCATCTTTCAGGTACATTTAGTTCTAGAACAGAGCACCATACTAGACTCCTAGGCCACCGCTCGTTAAAATAATGCATGGATACACCGCAAAGCAAGTAATTTTCATAATCTTCACACGTCAAAGCAATGTTATGTGTTTTGTTATTATTACATAAGGTACTATGATGTCATTACGAGGATACCTCAAAGTATGCACGAAGACAGTACAGCGACAGTATCGACCGACGCGCTGTGGAGGTCGCTGCGACGGTGTACTGTCTGAGTGCATACTTTGCGGTATACTCGTAATAACCTTAGTAGTATACATCATTTCCTTACAAGGATACGCGCGTAATCATTCCATATTTGGAATTCGTATTTCCTTATATGGTAGGACGAAAATACCCCGTAAAATACCGCAAAATACGGCATGCTGTAACTTATGGCGTTAGGGTGACAGATGTATAATAATAGACTTTACAAGAATCGCCAGAATAGTCGTCCCTAAATGTTTCTATGAGAATGCGCAAAAACAGGGTCTATTTAAAAGTCTGTCAAATGATTGGTTGATACGGCAGATGTGCAATCTTTGTTTTGTTAGCCGACCAACAAATGTAGCAAGCAGAACAACATTCAAAATAAAAACATTTCATGTATCCAATTGGCATTCATTGTGACTAGGGACTTCTTATACGTGTTTTGACATTAGCGACATTAAGACACTAATGTGACTTATAATAATCCGAAACCCTGACCGAAACCTGGTGTCCACAATATCAAACATTTTCGCTTTCGATCAGAAAGAAAGATTAATTATCACCCTGGCTTTGTGTTTATCTTGTGTTTTATGTATAAGTTTGCCATGAATATGAATATTACATATGTACTGCTGGGAGTGTCAATTATTCTTTGATACCGATATTCAATTACACGTGAAGATGATGACTGAAAAATGACCATGTTTGAATGTACGCAACAGGATATACCCCACAAAATATCTGTTGTACCCTGTCAGTGCTAGGCAATAGCATTCTTTCTTATTATACGTAAGTTAGAGTTACACATTGACGATGAACATCACAATGCTACATACCATAGTTTTGTGACTAGCGACGTTGACGTTGGTGTAAAGAAAGGCGAGACACCACCATACTAGGTTCTCTCGAACAAACAATATTCATATTTTATTTAATTCCTCACAAATGTATGAAAGCATTCATTTAACTTTCTCTACTAATGTTTGCAGGACCAGTTGTACTGGACAATACCATCAACTAGGTGTATAGGACAGTATGATCTTAGCAATGTTGTTCAAGCTGAGTTTGCGCAACTACCTGTGGCACCTCAAGTTATTATGGCGTATGACAAAACAAAGCAACAATTGTCTTCGGGTAAGAAATATTTGTTTATATCTCATTTCTATTAAAGGCATTGCAGTATGGTAAAATGGTAAAAATATGGTGTTATAATGTCACAAATTAGATATACTTTTTAACTCATATCTGCTTTTCAGAAGTTTGTGATTTGTAAGCACGTTTTCATGTCTACTAATTTGCATACAAGATTGTCATTCTCTGAACACAATTATTGTCAGGTTACCTCCCGTGATACTAAAATGTGTTCATTGGGTGGTTGGTAACCAAATATCAAACTTTGTAGTTGTATTGTAATGCTTTTACTATTTTCGATATTTATAATAATTGTAGACGCCATGTGTTGTGCCTGCAGGATCATGTGATGTAGCAAATGGAGGATGTGATGAAATTTGCATCCCAACTGACGCTGGTCCAGAGTGTCTTTGTAGCCTGCCATTAAGTTCAACATGTATATCAGGTATTCACAAAAACACAAACAACCCACCTCCTGGAACGCATCATCAGAATGATGTCTTTTTTCTACTGATATAACCACGTAGTATATTGATATACGTATAACGGATGCACGTAATATAGAAGATATTTTTACGAGTGACCCAAGAATAATATTTATCTTATTAGACCACCTCAATTTTACCTGGCATTATTATAATTTGCAGGTTTCCGATGCCCGATTAATTTCAAACACGGCAGTATGACTGCTGGTTGTACAAATACGCCGGGGAATAATTGTAACTTCCGATGTGATGACTATTATTTGCCAACTACATGTACTTTGGATAGAGTGACATGTCTAGATACTGGAGATTGGAATGTAAACACAGACAACTTATGCAAATTAGGTGAATGTTCAATTTTTGCATAAAACATTGTGTATCGGTAACATTTTCCTTACATGCATATCATTTATACCATCAACACTATATTTAATTCACAAAACAAACCTGATATTTATTTTTCAAAATATCTCTATGTACGTTGGTAGATGTGTACATGGATCATTTTATGCTGGTAGCTGATGCGACTATGGGAACAATTTTCCACTTGACTTTACTTTCCGATCAATTCCACAATGTGCCGCTGCCCATCCCAGGTCTCTCCAGACCAATTGCTATCGACTTTGATCCGGTTGAACTTAAATTGTATTGGACTGATATTAGTTTACGTACAATAAGCAGAGCCTCACTAGATGGCAGTGGAATGGAAATCATTTGTTCGGAAGGAGTGAAAAGTATGTATGCATATTATGTCTAATTTATAATTGATGCAATGAATTTACTTTATATAAACGCACGTTTTGTACGACCACTGTGGTCAATATGATTCTTACTGAAAACAGAAAATAAATCAATCCTTGGATTCGAAAACATTTTTTAATAAATTGCATGTGCAGACAAACACATATTACAACATAAAACACGGGATTCGAACTCAGTATCACGACATTCGCTTCGCTACTGCATGCTGCCGTGCCACCTACCACACGAATTGACGTACAGTGAAAACCGTCCTACAGTGACTAAATGGTAATTCACAAGTCATGAACATTTATAAAGTATTCATGGTTTGCCTGTCGTATCTCAATCCAATGAACCAGAATAATTTACCAAAAAATGTAGGAAACTAAATTTTACCGCATCATTTGGAATTTTAATAATGTGATATATACACAGGAAACCAGGCAAATGACGTTCGGCTGCAGTAGTCGTTGCACTTTAGACATTCAATTAAGTTGTAGCAAATAAACATTGTCATATAACCTCAGTCTGACACATCTTTCAACCAAGTATTATTTGATACTTCTGGTTGTTTCTACTGATGTGATTATACTGAACTATCTAGCCTAATGTGACTTATATAAATACTGTAAAGTAAATACGGCTGTGTCTCTTTAGTCAATAACAAAAGCATTATTGACTGTGTCAAGTGATTTCCGGTTCTATACAAGTCACACTAAACTATATCATCTCTCACCAAAGATGCTCACCCAAACTGGTAGAAAAAAAGCTGCCAGTCTGATTGAGACTCACATTCAATGTAATCACTGACCATCAATTGAAAGTGTACGCTAACATTATTTAACCTTTCATTCATTTCATTTGCCTTTTTATTCATTCGTTTCCTTTCCTCTATTTGTTAAATACCCAGCACATTTAACTTGTTACGAGTTATGTATGTGTTTAAGTATGTTTAGTATAGAAGGGGGAATAGCTTGGGCCTTCAAACTTAGCAAATGTTTTTCATGTAATTCACAAAATTTGCATACAAAAGGACAGCCGTCAAATTCACAATGTTAGATTATGTATTTTTGCTTTATATAACTACAATGGGAAAGACAATGAGTATCGTCAAACCCCTATGTGACCTGTAATACCTGGTTAGATTTTGGGGGGAAATGGTCAGAGGTCAACGGAACAATAAATATGTGTGTATTCTTGCAGTAGAACACATAGAGACGGATAAAATCGCCCAAAAGTGTATTCCATGTGAATTGCAATATGCTAGTATCAACTATAATATGTGTGTATGTATGTGTTAAAGTGTTGAATAAAGTTATTGAATACATATCGCATCGGTTGACAGCCCCTCCAAGTGATAGTTTATCAATGTTTTCATTCAGTACCCGCTGGCATAGCTTTGGACATCGCCAACCATCATGTATATTGGACAGATGCTGGTACAGATCGCATATATCGAGCTAATATGGATGGTTCATCACAAATATCGATTATAAAAGAAGGCTTGGACGACCCCAGGGGAATTGTTTTGGATGAGATTAACAGGTAAGGCACTGTTGTACATCACACCGTACAAACACTAAATCAATTAGAAATTAATGATATCTGAATATATACTCGATTCTATCAGTTTCATGTATTGGTCGGACGTAGGAGATGTACCTAAAATTGAACAAGCTAACTTGGATGGAAGTGGAAGACATACTTTGGTTGATACAGACATTGTGTGGCCAAATGGATTGGCACTTGATTATAACAGTAAATATTCCATTTTCTTACATATAATTAAATAACCAATTGATTTGTTATATTTATTATATAGTCCAGTCATACTAGCAAAACAGAGGGGCAATCCGTCACAAATTGCAACAGAAATAATTTCTTCACAGTGCTTTTTAGGAAAGGTATCTAGATTGATATACTAAAAGTCTAAGAAAATCTAGGCTTCCGAAATATACCTAATCTGCATACATTCAAAATGGCCGTTTTGCACATTTTTACAACATCAAAGTATAACTATTTGGACATACCTTTTAAATTCTAGATGAGGTACTATATACATAATATACCATTTAAACGTAAATTTTCAAATTCCATAAAGGTGACACACCTGTCCGAGAAGGACAGGGCCTCTAGTTTAGCCCAACGCCTACCTGAGGCATGGGTGAGTAGAAAGACTGTTTTCCACATCAAAAGTTTAAGTGGTGCTGATCGGAGAGGTTCAAAGGGCAGTCTTCTTAGAGCAGCCAACACAACTGATAAGTTCCAATTGGTGGTTCCCTCGTAAACAGTTTCCTAATGGTAGGAAAATCGGCTAGCCTTGTCCCCAGAGGATCCCAATGGTGAGTGACAAGGCTAACCTATAGCCAACAATCGCTGAAAGAACAAGTCCATTTCGTTCAAACGATGGACGAAAAGTCAGCTGTCTGGCCAACAAGGGATGGCATGAATCTCCCTTTCCACTACACCAATCAGTGTAGGCACGTCATTTCGAGACATAGGCTGTGTTGGTGGGATCCCTGTTTGCCCTGGCCAAGAAATTGGCACTCCACTCTGAGTGTGTCAACTGCGAGCCTTGATGTGTGTAAGTGGTACACGACTGGGCTCAAAGGCAGTGCGCCGTCCGGTTGGGACAGCAGATCCAGAAGTCCGGTAGCACCCCTGGTGTTTCAACTAACATTTCCAACAATAATGAAAACCAGACCTTGATTGACTCGTTGGGCTCCACCCGCGTCAAAGTGTAGATGCGCTCCTGTCAAAGTTTTTCTAGTACCTGGTGAATAGCGGGAAGGGAGGCAAGGGGGTCGACAAAGTGTTCCTGGCCCAGGCTCCAGGAGTCGGCAGGAGTATCAAAGGTATAACCTTGGAACGTCCCACCGCCGAAACAG